CCTAGCAGAGTTCCTAGAGGTGAAACTCACAGAAGTGTGTGGTTTTCCTATGACTGGGTCCCCCTGGAGATACTTAACTCTCAGACTTGTGCACACTGAGCCTCCAGCAATGTGTCAATATAGTTTAGGTTTTCCTACTCCAGCACTTCTGGTGGGGTTACCGCTCTAGTAAGCTGTGATTCTCTGTGTGCACCTGTCTGTCTTTCAGATTTTAGGGGCAGTTTGCCTTATGACCTCACTTCTGTGACAGATCTAAAAAAAAAAAAGGTTGTGTTTTTATTTAGCTTTTTACTTGTTAGGACGGAGTGGCAACTTCCAAGCTCCTTATGTGCTTGACTATAAACTAGAAGTATCTATCTCTCCATTTTTTAAATATTGGGGAGGAGTTGGATAAATACATTGACAGGATCACAGGATTTGTAGTCAAAGCACACTTAGGTTTGTGTCTTCTCTTGGCCACTCACCCTGTGTAACCTCAGATAAGCCACTCTCCATCTTTGAGCATAATTTTCATCTGTAGAGAGCAGTCCTGCCCATGTGCCTCAGAGGATTATTGAAGAGTTGGTATAATAACTTTTGTGACCATATCTTATAAAGATCACATAGATACCGGTTTCACTATTTGTTCCCATTTCCTCTGCTTCCCTGGGAAAGTTGGCAGGTGTAGTTTTTATTCAGCTTGTGTATCTTGAGCAGAGTTATCTTGCTGGTGTCATAAAGAATGGAACCTGGGGGTGGGTACGGTGACTCACGCCTCTAATCCCAGTTACTTGGGAGGTGAGGCCAGGAGTTGGAGGGTGCAGTGAGCTGATTGTGCCACTGTTCTCCAACCTAGGCGACAGCACGAGACTCTGTCTCAAAAAAGAAAAAATTGAATCCTGGGTGTTCTTAGTGACATTGTATCTTTAGTAGAGAGATTCTGTGTGGAGCGGGGAGTGGCATCTGAGTGGTGTCAGGCTGGGGGTGCTGGGCCAGGACACACTGGCAGTTTGGTGGAGAAACTGAGTCACGGACGCAGCATTTGTGTCTTAGGCAACTGTTTCTTCATGGATTATTTTATCTGTTGGATACCCACTGGTTCTCAAATCCTCACTTGAATTGGAAGAGACAGTTTGTGTAAACTTCAAGAGTGATGGAAATGGTAGAGTCAGAGGAGATACAGGTAGATGTATTCACTTAATAAACACTTCACTAAGCTTCAGCTGTGCACAACCCACTCTTCTATTGGTGACCAAGACAGAAAAGGCCCCCCTCTCGTGGAGATGGTACTGTAGTGGCAGGAGGCACAGTGCAGACAGCAGATGCGAGCAGATGGTCAAGACTCATTCAGATGGAGATAGGCACACAAAAGAAATGGGGTCTGAGTTTGAGACTGACTTTGGGTAGGCAGAGGTCTCTAGGGTAGGGTGGCCCTGGAAAGCCCCCTTAGCTGTGACCCACAGGCTGAGGTTATTAAAACGGTAGGGGCAGGGGGTGGGGGGTAGAGAGGAGGAGATATGTGGCATGTAAGTGCCCTGGTGCAGGCCTGATTTTACTGCGATCCTGGCTCAGTATGGTGCCTTACACATAGTAGGTGCTCATTTATAGTAACAGACTGAATGGAGGCAAGGGCTTGTGGGTGTTGGAGTAAATGCCCACTGAGGCCGGCTACAAGCAGAGAGTAAGTGGTAGATAGAGTTCATCAGGATGGAACTGTCAGGACAGTGGCTGAAATTGAGGTGGACAGCATTTGTCTCTTGGAAGTTACAGTGGGTAGAGCAGGGTGGTGTTGAGATGATGTGTCACACCCCTGGTGGACCAACATCCCCCCGCCCCTTCAGTGACAATCATATGTAATATATATTTTTTTAACTTTATTTTTGAGACAGAGTGCAGTGACGTCATCATAGCTCACTGCAACCTCAAACTCCTGGGCTCAGGTGATCCTCCCACCTCGGCCTCCCGAGTAGCTGGGACTACAGGCATGCGCCACTATGCTCAGCTAATTTTTCTATTTTTGGTAGGGATGGGGCATCTCACTCTTGCGGAGGCTGGTCTCAAACTCCTGACCTCAAGTGATCCCTTCGCCTCGGCCTCCCAAAGTGCTGGGATTACAGATGTGAGCCATCACCTACAACACCTGGCCGAGAATTTATTTTTAATTATACTTTTTATTTGAAATACAGATTTACATACAGTTGTAAGAAATAATACGGAGAGATCCTGTGTACCTGTTACCCAGTTTTCCCCAAAGGTACTGTCTTTCAAAACATTGGTACATTATGACAGCCAGGACATTGGCATTGATACGGTCAAAATGCAGAACATCCCAGCACACAAAGAATCCCTCCTGTGTTGCCCTTTTATAATCACACCCGCTTCTCTAAACCCTGGTAAACATTTCCTCTACATTTCTGTAGTTTGGTGATGTTAATAAGGTTATATAAATAGAATCATACAGTATATAACCTTTCGGGTTGGCTTTCTTTCACACAACATAGTTGGAATTTATTTTGAAAGATGTTAGAGGATGGTATTTAAAGTTTCAAATGGATTGAATAGTATCACAAATATTTGTGTACTCACTGTACCGTTTTTCCTTAAGGTTTTTTTTTTTTTTTCCTTTTAATAAAAGATGTAGCATATTGTAGTGGAAATTCAAGTTCTTGCTATTTCCTCTCTCTGGTCCCAGTGCTCTCCCTACCCAGAGGCAGGTGCTAGTTTGCATTCAGCATGTGTTCTTCAGTTCTGTCTTTACCCATCTGTGCCCATCAGCTGTGTAGGTGGAGGATATAGTGTATGTGATGTGCATTTTAATAATCCTACATTAATTAATGCTGCCATAATACACATGTTTTTCTGCAAGTTGGGTTTTTCACTCAGCATTGTTTGTGAGGGTCTCCATGTTGCTATGTATAGATCTATTCAATTAGTTTATTGCCATAGGGCTTCATTTTATGAACATAACTGTTCATTGGCAATTTTCTGGATTATTGGTGATTTCTCACCATTATAAACAGTTCTGCAGTGAATGTCCTTATTTCTTCTGTCTGCTGATCATATGCAGGAGTGTTCTAGGACATACACCTGGCAGAGTTTCTGGGTAGTGGTATATACTTGTGCCTTTTTGACAGGTAGGTTACTAAATTGCACTCCACCTTAGGTGACTTAGACTCGTACCAGCAGCGTATGAGAGCATGTTTTTGTACATCTTTGTCAGTTTGGTGGGAGTGACTTTAATTTGCGTTTCCTGGAGAATATTTTAAATGTGTAAATTAATGGAAGATCACTTCCATATTCATATTTCCTTTAAAGAAGGATAAATGACTATTAAAGTGCATTTCTTTTTTTTTTTATATAAAATGACTAATGGCCGGGCGCGGTGGCTCACGCCTGTAATCCTAGCACTCTGGGAGGCCGAGGTGGGTGGATCGTTTGAGCTCAGGAGTTCGAGTGCGGCCTGAGCAAGAGCGAGACCCCGTCTCTACCAAAAATAGAAAGAAACTAATTGGACAGCTAAAAATATATAGAAAAAATTAGCCAGGCATGGTGGCGCATGCCTGTAGTCCTAGCTACCCGGGAGGCTGAGACAGGAGGTTCGTTTGAGCCCAGGAGTTTGAGGTTGCCGTGAGCTAGGCTGACGCCACGGCACTCACTCTAGCCCGGGCAACAGAATGAGACTCTGTCTCAAAAAAAAATAATAATAATAATAAAATGACTAATAACAGTTTTGTTTTTTTTCCTGGTCCCCAGTCCTCTGGGGCCACTGAGTAAAGTCCAGTGTCCAGTAGTAAGGTCAATAGTCTAAACAGGCTGATGGCGATGTAATAGGCTGGCTCAGTCATTCGGCTTGGGTGCCCTCTGGTGCGGTTGCTGGGCCGCCGCTACGCCGGAGGTGGATTCTCAGTGGGTCCTCTGGGTCGTGTTGCACTGTCTGGGTGTCCCGGTTCCCCTCAGGTGTGGCCTTTTTATTCTCGTGTGATGAATCCAGAGTGCTATTCCTGCAACTTTAACAGCAGTGGGTGTGATTAAGACTACAGTGTGGGGGCCTGTCCAGGTGGGCTCTAGTGGTGTTTTTTTTTTTCAGTCTTTAACCCAGACTGAGTCTCCAGGCTGGTGTGAGTGGACTGGGTGTCCCATTGCTATAGGGATCTTTCTGGAACATTGTGATGAATCTGACTTGGGGTTTTGGATAGGGAAATAAGCTGAGTGTATAGGGTCTTTTCCCCTATCTGGGTGCTGTCTCCCTTAAGCTCTTGATTATGGGAGGGGGCTTTCCGTATAAGATTTCAAAGGGTGAATATCCTGTCGGCCCTGGAGTGCACCTCGCTTTAAGCAATGGTAGACTAAGTAAGTCTATCCAAGGTAGCCCTGTCTCTTGGCAAGAAGTGTATTTCTTAATCTGGATCTTGAAGGAGTATTGTAACTTGAGTGCAAGCGCCAGTACCTGTGACCCTGGTTTCATTGCTTTTGTACTTGGTCTATTTGCCGTGAGGCTGAGTGAGATGTTTATTGTAATGGGACTCTTGGACGGAGTGTATTTTGTTCTATTCTGTTGTACACAATTTTTTCTTTTAAGAAAGTGTCTAATATATTTGTCCTTCCAAACATTAACTCTTGGGCTGCAGTGGGATGCCATTTCCTAGACATTGGGACAGAGTCCCCATGGCTTGCTTTGTATTGTTTGTTTGCTGAAGATTCTCCCTTCTGCTCAGGTCCTTACAAAGCTCTCATCATGCGGAAACAGAGACCTACCTTCCCTGCTGGTCTCTGAGAACAGTCCTGCGTATCTGAGTATTTGGAATGTTCCTTGTTACTTTGATGTCATGACTGTTACTTCATTTCTTAAATAAACAATGATAATTGAATTGGTTACAAATACCTGAACCTTTGTGAACAATCCAGTTTTTAATTATTTTCAAAGTCACCTCTGCCATCCCATCGAATATTTCCATTTTGAAGGTTGTATACATGAAAGCAGTTCTGTACACCTCACTTTGATCTCTGTTCCCTTTCTCCAGGAAGAATACAGAAATTCCATGCCTGCATCCAGTTTTCAGCAGCAAAAGCTGCGTGTCTGTGAGGTCTGTTCGGCCTACCTTGGTCTCCATGACAACGACCGTCGTCTGGCAGACCACTTCGGGGGCAAGTTACACTTGGGATTCATTCAGATCCGAGAGAAGCTTGATCAGTTGAGGGTACGTTAATGCATTGTGTTCTGGAGACCTGAGGAGTCTTGTGGTTGTCTTCACATTTCTTTAATTTTAAAAAAACCTTGTATTCTGATCTTCTGTAAGAACTTGAGTTTATAGTGAAATACTCAGATTTCATCACTTGGGTTTACGTAAGAGATCTCACAATCCAAAGGAATCTTGGAGGTTTAATCTGCAGCCCCTTGTTGACAGAAGGAAACAGTAGAGTCCGTTCCGTTGGTACAGGCAGCTCTGTGTACCTCTGAAATCACTTGTCTTTGGAGACAGGGAAAGATTGTCCCTGTGCTTAGGCTAGAAGGAAGATCACACGCCTTGGCCCCTGCCTTTGAACCTCTTCAGAATGATAAGGTGGTGATGGGTTTCCTGGTAGCACTGACCACCCTGGTCCACACAGTGCCTCTTCCTTCCTCGGAACTCTTCGTTTTCTTGCATTAGGCTCTAAAAATTTAAAATGTTTCATACAGAATATTAAGAAGGAAGGTTGAACATCTTTCAGATACTTTGAATTGTCCTTCACATGGATGGAGACTCCCTTGCTGTGTATTAGGACCCCTGGGTAGGATGTTGGGAAATTAGCCAGCCTTTACTCCACACACCCCAAGCGTGGTGGAAGGACAGACACGTGGCACCTGACTGTGGACATCAAAGCTATAGTGACCAAGGCTGAGGGCCTTGTGTGCCCCAGGAAGGAGCCACTCATTCAGGCAGCAGATGGCAGGACTCTGTACCCAATGAGGGGTCCCCGTAGGTGATGCGAACTTGGGGCTAGGAATGAGAGCTGGGGTAGCAGTGCAGGTATTCTCAGCCATTGTTCTTAAACATTTTGCTTCTGTGTTCCCAAGAGAATTTTGTTTTGTTTTGTTTTGAGACAGGATCTTGCTCTATTGGCCTGGGTGAGAGTGCAGTGGCATCATCATAGCTCACTGCAACCTCAAACACTTGGGCTCAAACAATCCTCACATCTCAGCCTCCTGAGTAGCTAGGACTAGAGGTGTGCACCACCACACCTGGCTAATTTTTGGAAAGACAGAGTCTCACCGTGTAACCAGGCTGGTCTCGAATCCTAGCGTCAAGCGATCCTCCCACCTCAGCCTCCCAAAATGGTGAGATTATAGGTGTGGGCCACCGTGCCTGGCCCCAAAGAGAATTTTGAAAAACAATGTACTCTGCCATACATTTTTAAGTTGATATTTTTCTTTGTAAGTTTATAGGTATAAAAGATGTAAAAGTATTTTATATATATCCAATAAAATACGAATAATAATTTTTTTTATCTGCTATCATCCCCTTACAAATTTGCTTTCTAGGTTGAGGCAGGAGGATTACTTGAAGCCAGGAATTTGAGACCAGTCCGGGCACCATAGTGAGACCCGTGTGTACAAAAAATACAAAATTTAGCTGGGTGTGGTGGCTTATGCCTGTAGTCCCAGCTATTCAACAGGCTGAGGCAGGAAGATCATTGAAGCCCAGTAGTTGGAGGTTGCAGTGAGCTATGATCACACCACTGTACTCCCTCCTGGGTGACAGAGCGAGACGCTGTCTCTAAAGAAAAAGATTTTGCTTTTTAGCAATTGGAAATGTTACATCCCTATCTCTCCTTTAAATTTACATTCCATATCACCCCTGAATTTTGTCCTAATGTAGTGTTTTTTATATCTGAAAGTCTTTTATTTTCTTAATTTATATCTCTACATTAGAAATGTGAATCTATTGAAATGTTTTTCCTGCAACCTTAAGAAGTACTAATTTGATCTAGAAAGCATGTTTTATCATTGTGATTATTATAAGCAGTTTACAGTTGATCAAAACAACACAGTTGTGTTAGAAATTTTAATAAGTATTATGTTAACAACCACAAAATGTAGTAATTTGAAAGTGTGTCTTTTAATGATGAGGGCAGGAGTTCTGTGCCCTAATTACAGGGAGGGTTCACTCATAGTAGTCCCAGAGGTGTTCACACCTTAGTGGATAAAAATAAGGCTTTCTTTGTCAAGTGGGAGGATAGTTTTTTAGATGGTAGAGGTTAGAAAGGAGACAGTGCCAGACCATAGGTCTGTTCTCAGGCAGATCTGCTTTAGGAAAGAGTGCACATAGAAGCTGAGGGGCTGACACTTCCATCTGTAACTTTTTAAAAAATGCCGTCCTTAAACATAACCTGAAAGCTTTCCATCCTGGTGTGCCTACTCCCAACAGAGCAAGCACAATCGAAGGTGTGGGGCTGGAGAGTCCAGACAGGACAGCTCTCTCCATCCTTGCCATGCCTTCTCTAATCCACACTGGGCACATGGGATCATCCTTTATACCTTCCTGGCTCTCTGGGCAGAGAAGACCAGTGACTGTTGGTCTCTCTGGCTCTAAATTACTCCCACTCAGGGCTTCATTTCCCTTGGCAGAGAGATGAGGGGCGTTGAAGGCTTTGAGTTGATGTTGGAGGTAGAGGATATATAGAATGGCACCTTGTGCTTTTAAGCCAAGCCTGTGTTGATGGTGTGTCAGTAGTGAAGTTCCTCTAAACCTCCTCCTGCCTTCCATTGCATTCATGATCAAGGCTGATATCAGGTCTGCTTCTGTTGAAAACCAGTTGCAGAGGGTTTATGGTCCACCTCCCCTGGCCTCCTTTCCCCATGCAGTTAGGTCTAAAGAGAGACAGTGTAGTAACCAGCACTTCGAGGATAGGATGCTCTTTGGTAACAGGAGTTCTGCTCCCAGCAGCAAGATGTGTTTGATTGGACGTACCTGGTCTTGTTCTATAAAGTTCATGGATTGGTTTGAAATAATGTGATCGGACCAGGTGCAGTGGCTCATGCTGATAATCCGAGCACTTTGGGAGGCCAAAGCTGGAGGATTACTTGAGGCCAGAAGTTTGAGACCATCCTGAGCAACATAGCAAGACCCCATCTCTACAAAAAATAGAAAAATTAACCAAGCGTGGTGGCACACACCTGTGGTGTCCCAGCTACATTGGGAGGCTGAGGCAGGGAGATCACTTGAGCCCAAGAGTTTGAGGTTACAGTGAGCTGTGATCATGCTACTGCCCTCATGCCCAGGCAGTAGAATGAGACCCTGTCTCCATTAAAAAAAAAAAAGGGTGGGGGGTATTTTTTATTTTTATTTTTTTGAGACAGAGTCTCGCTCTGTTGCCTGGGCTAGAGTGCCGTGGGTCAGTCTAGCTCACAGCAACCTCAAACTCCTGGGCTCAAGCGATCCTTCTGCCTCAGCCTCCAGAGTAGCTGGGACTGCAATTTTGCACTACCGCACCTGGCTAATTTTTTAAAAAGTTTTTTGTAGAGATACTGCACCTGGCCCCGAAGTTGTAAAATATCATGATATAGTATTTTTTCATGTATTGTCTTCTTCATTGATTACAAAGTTTTAAAAATGAATATGTTCCTGTTTCCTGAGAGTTTCTCTTAGATTTTTATTTTTATTTATTT